CTAAAGCTGTTTGCGAGTCGCGCGCTGATTGGTTGAAATTTGAAGACCTGTCAAACAGAGATCAGCAGGTAGTTGAAAAGTTTCATACCATAATTAAATATAAGTTTAGATATTGTAAATGGATAGTACTTAACAGTAAATGTTCCATGCCAGCAAAGTTCTTTCTTTTCAACAATCTCAGGAATAAATTTCTTTTATCTGAGACAACACTTACAAGTACATGTACATGTAACACAATGCGATAGGTAAGTACTTTCCATTAAAGATCTGTCGTAGATTTTAAAAGCAAGTTCAAAAATAAATAATCGCCAAAAGTTAAGTGATTCCTCTTCTGAAAAGCAACCAAGGGTTAGGGTCAGGGTTAAAGGGGACTGCTGTGACAATACATTAGCAAGCAGATCACCAAGAATAAAAATGTTTTTTGGTCATGTACTCTTTCTAGCTTTAACTGCAAAATGATGTTTCCTTGCTCCCTTTTTTTAGGTCAGCCTGAAGAAGATGTTCAGCCAGATGTTGATGCTGTAAGCGTATATTTAGTCTTTAATGAACTAATGACATAAGGTGAATGTAGGTTGACAGGCAATGACAGAGCCAGTTTCACAGTTCTGTATGCGGGTGATGCTCAACTCAGTAGTTCTAGAATATGGTCTGATAGTATCTTAGATTCATCTAGCAATAGCATTACCCCTTAACATACTGAATAATAATATATTTTATTTTATTTTATTTTATTTTATTTTATATCATTAAGTTACAAAACAATCTCCAAACTGAAGGAAAGTCAAATGATAATTAACCAAGGTAATAATAACCCAAACAGAAACAAGGTCCTAGAATTCTTCATTTCATTCTACTTTCAGACCATTCTCAAACAGCTCACAGACATGGGTTTTAAAGAAACCAGAGCTAAGAAGGCTTTGATTTTGAACAGGTTAGTCAATCTTTAGTCATGAAGCAACAAATCGATATTACTGCGAACAAAGTACAATCATGTATGTTCAATGACTTAAAATCTTGCCAGAACTCAGTAGCATGTTATAGCCAGGGGCAGATCCAGAAAGTTCAGCAATGGGGGGCTGACAAAAGTTCCCTGTTATTGCAATAATAATAATAATAATAATAATAATAATAATAATAATAATAATAATAATAATAATAATAATAATAATAA